AATCAATAAAAATATAAACAATTAAAAGGGCATAAACTTATCTACTTCAGAAATATGATGTCCATGGGGTAAAAAGCATTCAAAAATGTTAGGAAAATGAAAATAAAACCTACTTGAGAGTTTTCTCTATGTCATCCCATCACTTTGAATGTATTAATATGCTCAGAAGGAAATGACTCTAAGAGGATATGGCAAAACGATGACTACTTTCAGGGAAAATGATGGATTAGTAAGTTTTATAGAAGCTTCCATCATTAAACATATGTGAAGAGAAGAAAAAGTATGAATGAGTCACCAACCTGCATACTTAGGGAAAGGCAGGTTTTACCAAGAAAAGAGAAAGTTGATATTTATTGACCTTAATATAAGTGAATCACCATGTTACACATTTCAGAATAATTACCTAATTTAATATGCAAGTCCTATGATATAGGATTTATTGTTCCTACTTTCAAATGTTTGGGAAAGAAGACTTAACTTTCTCTAATTCTGAAAAGCATCTCTGACTTGTATTTTCAGCCAGGATGCAGCATCTGAGAGGACCCTACCAAGCAGGGTTTTGACCACAGAAAAGCAAGGGCACCACAGCAGGGTGGCTGACGTCTCAGGGATGGTGGCATTACCAAGCTCAAGTGGACACCAAAGGGAACCGAAATAAAGATGTCAGACCTACCAATAAATTGCAAGCTGATCAATAGATTTAAAAGTCAAAACCCATTTAGCAGTGATGAATGCATTAACAAGTCTCTTCTAAAACAGCATCCTGGTAAGTGTAAAGAGCTAAAGGAGCAGATATTCCTGAAACATGAGCAAGTTTCCACTTCGGGACATTTATTTGCCCCTTGTCTTTGCTGCTTCTGCCTGTAATATTTTCCCTCAAATATCTACATTATGCACCTGTGCACTTCCTATATCTTTTCTCAAATGTCACCACCTTGTGAAAGCTGTGTCTAAATCTACTATATTTTCTTTCCTTGAGAATCCAGTTTCAGTGCACTGCATATATCCAGAATTGAAGCAGTTGTTAGTGGAAACACTGCCACCTGATGTCTAGCTCAAATAAACATTCACGCTGGCCTACTTGCTACCCTCTAGTGGTCGTAGATTGAATTGCGGAGAGGCCTTGCAAAGAGAGAAACCGTTGCCCAACCAAAGTCAGTGAACTTCCTCTTGCAATAATCATGTGCAACAGGTAATGGGGGAAAAATAAGAACAAAGATACATCATGTACAGGTACAAACACCCAATGATAAATGTAAACGAATTGTATCCCTAAAATGTACCAATAAAAGAATTTAAAAATTTTAAAATATCATGTGCAAGAAGACAAGAAGAGTTGCTGGTTGTTGATTTATTGCCCTGTCAGATGTGAAGATGACTGACCTTGAAATGACAAATATAGTACATGGAGTGATTTGGGCTGGAGACTAGTAGGATACCTTGGAATAAAGCTTGGCATTGTTGTATAAGTTGGAAGTCTTTTCCTGCTAAGTGAACTTAAATCCACTTTTCTATCCTTTGTGGTATTATAGAAATATCATGAGAAGTGAGATAGAGTCATTGATGGAGGAAAAATGAACTACTTTAGGGGACTTTGAGTAATAAAATATTTTCATCTGCTTATCCCCCAATATAAATAACATCACGATGCACTGATTTCTCATTAAAAGTTAATAAATATGATAAATCATAGATATCTAGGATAATCATGAAACTACTACATAAATTACAAAATACAGCTCAGAAAAATATAGTAAGCTTTATGTTGTGAATAGACTCTATTGCAATTTCAGATGGTCTCCCAATTTCCCAATACTTTGTACATTGCATGCATCAGGTAGAGGGTCTAATATAGGGAAGTTATTATACTGGATGACTTGCACATATTTTCCTACTTAACTTTTATTAAAACTCGTCAAGGCCAGTGAAATTTTGATGTCCAGTGTGAGAAACTGAGGAAGTGGAAACTCAAACTGACTTTGGTGTTTTGAGGTGAGGCTTTAGGGAGGTGATTAAGATTAGATAAAAATTTTGGTGGCTTTATCAGAAGAGGGAGAGAGACCAGAGAATACACACATGTGCACTCTCTGCTCCTTACAATGTGATGTCCTGTGCCACTTCAGGCTTCCTTTCTTTATAACTTACCCATCTTGGAATTGTTTCACTAGCATCAGAAAACAGATCAACTCGGAGGCAGCGTAGTAAGTGCTTGAGACCACAGACTAGCTGTATTTCTAGATCTAATACTCATTCATTGAGTTGTTTTGAGCTGATTACTTGAAAGATTCTATGCTTCAGTTTTCTCAACCCTACTATGTGAGTACTGAAAACATCTACCACATATAGTTATTATGAGAAGTAAAAAGGATGATGAATTCAAATGCTTAGACCAGTACCCAACAAAATCTACCAGCTACTTAGAGAAAAGAAAATTATCTGCTCTCTACCCTTTGGAGGACATCACTTGCAGTCTCTGCCACTGCTATTGCAGGGTCACCTGAAGTTTTCCCAAGTCAGGGTTCCCAGGCCAAGAGGAGTTCAAGGAGGAAAAACAGAGCCAAGGTGCCTGAGTCCCACATCTCCCATGTGGTCTTCAGCCCGTTATGCCCCACCCCACCCCCAGAAGGGATGGGCGACAAAATCTGGCTGCCTTTCCCCTTGCTCCTCCTGGTCACTTTGCCCCTCGGGCTGCTGCCAGGGTGGCCGGCTTCATGCCTTCCTTAGACAGCGACTTTACCTTTACCCTACAGGCCGACCAGAAGAAGTGTTTTTACCACCCCAGGCCCCTGAAGGCCTCACTGGAGATCGAGTACCAAGTTTTAGATGGAGCAGGCTAAGATATTGATTTTCATCTTGCCTCTCCAGAAGGCAAAAACTTAGATTTTGAACAAAGAGAATCAGATGGGATTCATACTGCAGAAACTGAAGTTGGTGGTTACATGTTCTGCTTTGGCAATTCATTCAGCACCATTTCTGAGAAAGTGATTTTCTTTGAATTAATCTTGGATAATATGGGAGAACAGGCACAAGAATAAGAAGACTGGAAGAAATTCATTACTGGTACAGATATGTTAGAGATGAAACTGGAGGACATCCTAGAATCTACAAACAGCATCAAGTCCAGCATAAGCAAAAGAGTTCATATACAAACTCTACTTAGACCATTTGAAGCTTGCAATCAAAACATGCAAGAAAGCAACTTTGATAGAGTCAATTTCTGGTCTATGATTAATTTAGTGGTGGTGTCAGCCATTCAAGTTTACATGCTGAAGAGTCTATTTGAAAACAAAAGGAAAAGTAGAACTTAACACTTAACTACTTAACAAAATTGAAAAAAAGGCAGAAGAATGCAATAAATTGTTACCATTAATAGTCAAGACCATTAGTAGTCTTTTCCAAAATGTTTTCAGGAATTCTCACTAAGTGTAAAACAAGTATAATTTTATTGTGAAAGTCTTCACTTTATGTGCAAGTTACTTTATTGATCCAGTTATACTTAAGTGTATAACAGGAATATTTTACAAAATGTTAAGTTTAATTGAATTAATCCATACTAATAACTGCATTTTTCTAAGTTTGAAAAAATTTTACAAATATCAATTGTGAATTAAATAAATCAACACTGAGCATATGAGCATAAATGCAATACCATACAAACTGCTTTTTTTTAACCTGATTTAACTTAGATACTTCTTTGTAATGGTGGCAATTACAAATTAATTATAGAAACTTTTGATATATCAATTTATAAATCAACTGAGAATTATGTAATTATGGTTTAAATATATCCACTTTTTCCTATTTACATATATATCTTCAATAAAAGATAAATATATAACTTTGAAATGAAATAACATTTTTGAGATTCTTTAAAATATATATTTCAGTGTTAAATATAGCAAAAAGTAGAAATTTTATGTACTTGCCTATATTCCCAAAATATGACATTTTACTAATTCTTCAAACTGCAAAGGCATACTTTCTCATTAAATTAAGACAAGTTTTCTCTTTGAAATGAAAATATATAATTAAAGGCTTTCTGAATTGAGGTTATACAAATAAAGCTTGATCATTTTCCATAAAGATGCATTCTGTGACAATAGCTAAA